TTAAACAGCATTAAAGTGCGTTGAACTACCACACATGTCTGGCGTCAGATCCAATGCAAAAAGCACGTTTCCTCCTATGTATTCATCGCGTGAGATATCATTTCCAGTGTTGTAGTTCATCTTTCCCGTGCCAGAGAACATTGTGTAAAATGCTTCAATATATCTGGGATTTGCACCGGCAAAGGAAAGTTGCATACCTTTCAAGGGTACTTCTTCGCCATTCACAGACGCTCCATTAAACGACATGTTGAAATGTTGAAAGTTGAATGGGTTTTGTTTGTACGCGCCATTAAATGCTGCACTTTCGACCAAGCCACAAACAAATGATTTCGGGACAAGTCCGTTGAAAACGTTATCTTTTCTTAGGGAGGGATTTCCAGCTGGAATAATGAAACTTTTACATTCAACACGACGGATAGGATAGATAGCAGGACCTTTTTTCAATGCAATCTCATGGGTCATGGAAACGGTTGGGCTAATTTTCACCTTACGTATTTTGAGATAAACATCCATCAATTTTACTCTGTAATCCGCACCATCTTCAGATGCCATCAAACGACACCGCGGAAATTGGTATAGGCTTAGCCGCAATTCTCGATACTTAGACTTCAAACTTGGTGAGGAAAAAGATTTATAAATATTCAAGAAAATATGTCTTGCACAAAAGATTTGAAGCTTGCTCACGGTAAAAACGAATCGTCTGAATTAATAACCTTGTGTATATACTTTAAGCCTCAAAATGGCCATTTCACAGCGGTCAGATGAGTATGATGAGCTGTCAAAAGATTGCAGAATGCGTATTCAGAAGAAAAATTGAACTTTTTTAAGATATTCAAAAGGTTTCTCTTTGATAGGGCGATACAGAAATGCACAATTGTGAACCAGCGATTAGATTTTCGGGTTGAAACGTCTTAAACACCAATTTCTGCGGTGTCCCATCAAACAAAACTCGTTAATATTGCGATTCAGAATAACTTTTAGGTCTACAAAACTTAACAGGAGACGTTCTGAAAAGAACACATCACTAAATATAGGTCCAGCCATTTCAATCGTTTTACTCGCGCTGCTGAATTCGTATCTCTTTTTTTAAAGCAGCGTCTTAATACGGCGTCGAAAGCAGCGTCGAAAATAAGCAGCGTCTCTAAATACGAGCGGTATACATACGTTCCCGTAGCTTGTGTCACTTGCTTTTCTTTCAAAAAGACGTCAACTGGTTTGAAAGGGCTGTGCAGAAAATTGTTCACAACTCCGACTTTTTCGCCTGCGTCAAGATCTTGCCCATTAGCTTTGTCACTTTTGCTCTCACTACAAGAATCGTTTTCGACAAGTCAACGTAATCATCAGTTCCTGGACACAGAAATGTGATTGGACCACAATCTTCTACACTGGATACCGGTTGATGATCGATCCAATGTCGTTTTTCCAATCCAACTTGTGTGAATGGCATTCCAAATAAATCAAGTTCACTTTTCATTCCTTTAGGAGATTTTGAATGCACAAAATTCATGTTTAACCAAATATATCTTCCACACGAGTTGTTCTCCGCTTCTTGGTCTGTCCGCTTCTGGCTGTAGATGTTGATGCTTTTCTCTTTTTAGTCGTTTTGCGTTTCTTAGGACGACTTTTCCTGTTAATCGATGCGTTTCTTTTTGTTTTCCGTTTTCCACTTCCTGTTTGAGCGTACGTTTTAAGTCGATTAACGGCTTTTCCCTTAGCGATGTTTACGGCTTCACGCTCTCGACTTTTTATCGCTGTCTTAAGATTTTTTCCCGAGGCAACGTCTCCTAATAGATTAGCTCCAGCTAGTATTCAGTGCAATGTTACCAAGAGCTTTTGCTCCACTTTTTACAATTGGCATGACTGCCCTAGCAACACTTTTAAACAGACCACCTAGTCCAAAACCGACTTGTCCATGACCCATCTGCCACGGTCTACCTCTGAAAACAAACATACCACGCCCTTGTTGTTGATCAAGATAGTAACGAACGTACGGGTTACTCATTTTTAGAAATAACTGTGAGTCTGAGATGTAGTGTTATCACCACTTTTCCGCGTTCAAATGGCACGGGATCGCCTGTGTCGTTCCTTAAAAGAATCTCCACGTCTTCATATGATTTAGTTTGGACTGGCGCATATTGTATGTTTGTGAACGTCTTGGTAATGATGTCCCCAGACTTTCCCTCGACTGGAATGCTTCGGAGTAACTTTGCGTTTGTATCACCGACAATCTGCGGTTGAACAACGTCACAATAAATGTATATTGTTGACATATCAAACAAGTCTGCAACATAAGGACTAATGGTCGTTTTTGTTAATTTTACTTCCTTTCCCCCAAATCCTAAGATAATAGACATAGAGAAAATTTATCTCAGACAAATCATCAATGTGTCACTATGGAAAAAGACGATGTTATGCATGTATTTTGACGAGGCGTTGTCAAAATTCTCAGAGACAAAGGTCACGGAGTCTTTTATCGAAACCCTAACGGACATTAAACCCTGTGTAGACAGTCCGGAGCTGCTCAAATATACGCGTGGTAATTGGGGAAGTAATTTTTGTGCAGATCGAAGACGGATGCTAAAAGAAGAGACTTTTAGGCTTTTGTAATAAGCGCTGCGATGTCTCCTAAAGCATCTTCAAAGAAAGAGGTTTTACGCTCGAAATCAACCGGGGTAAATGATCTACGTAAAAGGGCTATTAAAAAGAAGAAAAATGTTAAAGACGAGAGAAAAGCCAAACTGCACAAGATCAGGAAACTCAAGCTCAAGCGAAGGACTAACCATACTACGATACATGCACAAACGAATTAAACTGGTGGTTATCCGAAAAGCAGGGGACACGTTTAAGTGTAAAATAATTGAGAAAAAAAACACTCTCATAATAAGACAGTAAATCTGCCAGACAAGCTTTTATGCCTCAGTATAAATTTAAACGCCGAAATAAAACCAACTTACTGAACAAAATATTGGGAATCAAGCAAACAGCCAAGCCCTCTATGACAATCAAACGATCCAAAGCTGTGATGAAGACAGTGGGAAAAATACTAGGTTATGAGATTGGGAGAAGCTGTATCTCCTATTTTGGCCTTTTTGGCCTGACTTTGGCCCGATTGGCCTGACTTTGGCCCGATTGGCCTGTACTATGGCCCGATTGGCCCTAATAAAAGTCAGTAATCAGAGGAAACAGCTCATTTGCACCCTGTTCTTCAAACCGTAGACATGGCAAAGCGCGTTTGTCGTGATTGTACCGTTCCCAATTGCGGTGCAAAATACCTTGTAAGATTGGCAAATCATCTTGCGGATGTGCATCTGCTCGATATTGACCAAAGAAGGAAGTACCTACAAGAAGCCAAACTAAAGCCGAAAGGGAAATGTGTGGTGTACAACAGAGCAAATGAGAACACTCTTGATGATGAGAACAGACATGAGAACAAACGACGGCAAGACGTGGTTATGAATTATTAAGCACCAGAAAGATAAGCGAGGAAAACAGCAAGCCCAGAGTTCTAAAGAGGAAAAACGTCAGTGTTGAACATACAAAAGACAATCCAAACAATATCCCAGCAAAATGGCTGCATTCTTAGACTAAATAGAGGTGGTGGAATCTGGATCATTATACCACAAACTGAAGACTGAGAATAATTAAAGGATTCCTTTCAAATATTTAGTAACTTTGAGAACAATTTATTAACTTTCAGAACAATTTATAACTTTAAAACGTTATAATTTAGTAACAATTTAATAAATTTATAACTTAAGAGGAGAGTTTCTTTCTATGTAAACCCCACATTCAACACCGAACTTTCAAAACACACCTTAATGCATTCACGCATGCGTACAATATTAAGATTTTATAAGGTTTGAGCATTTTCAGAACATGAAAAAAAAACCTCCTCTTAATATAAATAAACATGTAACTTCAACTTTATAAACACGTAACATTGTAACATAACTTTGTATTTCATGCAATTGCAATAATTTATAACTCTCAAACGTAACTTATGTATTGTTCAACAACAATAAAACTTGACATTTCACTCGTCTGTGCTTATGATTTTGGTAATGTCCATAAGCCAGAGTGTTCACTCCATCCTTTAAAATATAGCGTTTGTCATCATAAGGGCTAAGACCAATTTTGTTCAATTTAATAGAACGTGGCATGAATGGAAGAGAAATAGGAGTCTCGAGCTGAGGCGATTGCAACACAAAACGAACTTGATCAGTTGATCGTGCTTCATATAATGACCAACAGCCATACATCTTTAATTTAATGCGTACATACGCACACACCTTGACACCTAAGGCGGTTGACAATTCATATGATGAACAACAGCCCTGCATCTTTAATTTAACGCGTATATACGCTGTCACTCGTGCAGAATATACTGTATATCTGTTCATGTAAATCGTCATTGCCATGCGTAAATACGCTTAAAATATAATAACTATTTCGTCACGCAAATGTTTTTGATTCTACACGATTAAATTGTGTCGTACGGGATGTGTGGTCACATAATTATAAAACCCCTCTTTTACATACCGATTGAATGCAAAGGAAGTTAAAGAAAGACTTTAGCTCATTAATATTAGTTTAGGCATATTTAGATTCGGCATACGACATCTGAGGCGCCGTTAGCAAGCGTGGTACCGATTTGCATAAAATTATACCACTCTTATCAAATTAATGAGCATTCGTTAACAATGGTTGCCTAATCCCCACGCGTATAAAAATAGTTGGTAAAATTAACCAAAGTCAAAGCAAAATGAACCGAAAACAAAAAGTGCCGAAAGATCAAGAAAAAATTATCACAAAAAGAAAGAAAAACTAAAGAAATACATAGTGTTATATAAGCAATATGACTGAGATATGTTGTATATATTTATGCACGGGCGTTGCACAACTAAACAATGAAACATTGTGGAACAATGAACAATGCTTAATTGTTAGACACTTGACACTCGGAAACGGTGAATAGTGACTAGTGATTAGTTGCAGTTAGTGTGAGAGGCAACAGCACGAGCCGGAGGCACAGCCCATTTCTATAAAACGAAGTGGTTCTAATCCAGTATATGTTACTGGGCTATTCCCCCTACGGCCCCGACGATTCCGCTGAAAGGTACAAAGAATAGGGGTCGTGTAACATTGGTGGATGATGCTGGCGAGAAAAGGAAAACCAACGAAATCTAGACGCTGACGGTTCAAACGCGAGGAAAGAATAAAGAAACGCCCGACGACGACGCGACGCGAAGTCGAAACATTATAGACATTCTATCTATCTATCTGCTCTGTTTCAGGTACATGTTATTTCCTTACTTATTTGCTTTGGCTTGAAATATGCGACGAACCACGTGTTGTGTCAGTATTCAGTAAAAATTCTTTCTTTTATATGTTGTTAATGATTGCGAGCGTGTAGTGATAAATTTTGTTGATATGTTGTTTCTTGTCTTATGTTTCTCGTTGTTTTATGTGTAAGGTGTAGACATTTGATTATAATGTTCACCACAGTTATACATAAAATATTTCATTGTGTCCGGGCCCGATCACTCGCAGTCGCACTCGTGCCGATAATTCATTACGGGAGTTAGTAGACCATACTGGTGTAGGTATGACTGAACAGACTGAGCTCATTTTAAATAAGTTATCCGAACTGTTGAATGCTATTAGAGACCTTTAGTTTGACGTTTACGGCAAACGCCAAACCGCTAGCAATGTTTGTGTTTTAACTCCACTATCTTTGAGTGTGCGGCAATTTCGCTAAATTACAAACGTTCTGCATAAATCTTGTGATGTTCAGCAGTAATGTAAGAAAGCAATAGGCTATTTCTGATGTATTTAGAAAAGCAGCAAATTCAGCTTTGCCGTATGTGTTTCACGTTCGCCGTATAATTGTATAAAATTTAATGCTTGAACGACTGCATACACCCTCAGCCGTTCAAGCATTAAATTTTATACGGCGAACGTGAAACATATACGGCAAAGCTGAATTTGCTGCTTTTCTAAATACATCAGAAATAGCCTATTGCTTTCTTACATTACTGCTGAACATCACAAGTTTTATGCAGAACGTTTGTAATTTAGCGAAATTGCCGCTTACTTAAGGAGAGTGAAGTTAAAACACAAACTTTGTTAGCGGTTTGGCGTTTGCCGTAAACGTCGAACTAAAGGTCTCTATTGAGAAGTCTACAACCACAAATCAGCAAAGCCAAGAGCAACTTGCTGAAAATAATGAGAAAGGTATTCAGAGCCACACCGACCTTCTCAAATAACAAGAACAACAACAAGCTCAATTGACAACACTAATTGCACAAAACACACTACGTACAGGTGGGCATGTTGTAAAACATGGACTGACTGGACTTTTAAACTATGGACCGGACTGGACTGGACTTGTAAAACATGGACTTGTAAAACATGGATTTGTAAAACATGGACTTGTAAAACATGGACTTGTAAAACATGGACTTGTAAAAACATGGACTTGTAAAACATGGACTTGTAAAACATGCATGGACTTGTAAAACATGGACTTGTAAAACATGGACTTGTAAAACATGAACACCGATCTTCGAATTTGTTGGTTTCAGCTCATTAAACACACAAAAACACATTACAAAATATCTTGCCACTCTCTGCCCCAACCTTTATTTGCCGTCGAAATTGGACGACGATAACGAAATAGAAAACGTCTACTATTTACAGGCATACATTTGTATCATATACAGTTAGATTGCGGTAATTAGCCTTTCCCAAAAATTCTGTGATGTTTCTGTGCCCCTTAATACTATTCAAAATAGTCGCTTCTTTAAAGTGCCTATATCACTTGTGGGATCTTTACGGATTTGAATAGAGCTTGAAAAATTAGTTTATAAGTTCTAAAACCCTTTTTGATATAGTTAAATAGTTTCGGAAATATTTACATCTAAACATGACGATTTCCTAAATTTCCGTCGTGCTTGGGGGCCTGGGACTCAGGAACCGAGTTCTTGTAAAACATAATATAATCAATTGTAATTTTACTTCGATCTTCCAATAACGTAAAGTATTTTGAGAAAAACTCGCCCAGTTTCTACAGCCATACACAACGCACTGTTCCCGCATTTTTTTCTTGAAAAGCGCAAACTATATCGCCAGTGAAACTCTTCATGTTTACATTATAAAAGACGGCGTGTTTGCAAATCATTCCTGAGTCCCAGTCCCCCCAACCGACGTATTTTCGAAACTATTTAATTATATTAAAAAAGGTTGTAGAACTTATGAACTAATTATTCAAGCTCTATTCTTAGTTTTTTGACTACGACATCCTGTTGCCCAGGCTGCCTGTTGCCTGGTACCGTCGTGAACATATTTTGCCAGGTGTACGGAACCAAAACTACCAGAACCGAGCTTTTTCTGCTTTATTATATTAGCCCATTCAAATTTTGGTAAAACAGGCTTATCGTTTGGCTTTTTTGTCAGTTTGGGAAGCTTGAAACTACCGAACATTTTGGTTTACAGACCTTTACATTGTTGGAGACTGACAGAGATTAAATAAGTAATTTGATATACTCGTGTGATGTACTCGCGCAAGTCTAAGTCTAGGCAGCCTATGATTTGTTATGCAATAATAAACCGGCATGCGCCTAACGCGAGCGTAGCCATTTTACATTTAATTTATTTTTCAATTGAATTGTAGTGTCTGCTTGATATTGACACAGAGTAAACAAATAAAACAATAGATACAGAGCTGTCTAATACTTACTCCGTAATATTGGCGGCAGAGAGTGTTCATGTCTTACAAGTTCAAATCCATGTTTTACAAGTCCATGTTTTACAAGTCCATGTTTTACAAGTCCATGTTTTACAAGTCCATGTTTTACAAGTCCATGTTTTACAAGTCCATGTTTTACAAGTCCAGTCCAGTCCATAGTTTACAAGTCCAGTCCAGTCCATGTTTTACAACATGCCCTACAGGTGGTAGGGATGTACAAATGTACCAATCTGTGATGATCTAGTTGATTTGTCATTTGAAGGAAGTAAAGAAATGAATAAAGAATCGAGTGTTGTTGTTTTGAATTCTGACCTGGAGAGCCTATCATTTTCTGTCCCATCAGCAAGTGTACATTCTGTGTGTGAGAGCATGGTGAGAGGCAACAGCACGAGCCGGAGGCACAGCTTTTAATACATTTTTATAAAACGAAGAAGTTATTGTTGTGGTTCTAATCTAATATATGTTACTGGGCTATTCCCCCTACGGCCCCGACGATTCCGCTGAAAGATACAAAGAATAGGGGTCGTGTAACAATAGAATTCAACCTATACATGATGTGGTTAAATTTGAGGCAGTCCACGTGGGTACTCCTGAACAGAGGTTTTGGGACGCCATCGAGAACTCTGACACATCATTCTTGGACGAACAGTAACAAAATAATATAGACGGATCATAACATATAATAGCGTAGTAATACATGTATAATAATATAGACGGATCATAACTTTTATCGTAGTAAAATTAAATGAAAAATGTCAATTTAGTCACATTGTCCCCACTTAATGATCATTAATCCAGTAAGAGAGATAATTTATTAAAATGGGCTGGTAATCAGAAATGCCTGAACTTTGCCTCAAATCCATCAGAAAGTTAAGAGTTGCCTCATGGTCTCTCTTGAGGTTTTCAAAATGTTATGTTGCGTACGTGTTATAATCCAATTTCATCACACGGATTGCCTCAATAAATTCTCTCCAAAGTATCCCGTGCCGAAACACCTGGTCAACGGCCTCCAAACCATGCATCTCCCATCTTTCTTCTTCCGACAACATTATACATTCGTGTCTCCTCTGACTAGGACTATCGAACTCACAACCTCTACACCTCTCTTTGCAAACTTTTCCAACCTCGCCTCTGCAAATATCGCGTCCATCAAATGACATAAGTTCCTAACTTCCGACGGTTCAAATTCATCCATAGTTAAACTGCCCGCGCTGAATATCTGTTCTTTTCCTTGGGAGAAATTCATGATAAGAAACGCCTCTCGAAATGAAATTGCACGAAAAACCATATCCTTTATTTATACCGTTGAAGAATATTTATATCTTTTAAGACCAACCCTACGTGTTTACACCATGCACTCTCTCGGTAAAGTCCAACCCTACGTACTTACGCTATCTTCTGGGTAAAGTCCGACTCTACATAGTCCCATTCTGCGTATTTACGCATTATTATCCCTCGTGAACTTCCTGTATTGCATTCACGCGTACCCCTAGTTATGTTCTATAAACGTCGGGTTATAACTGTGCTAAATCGTTCGCTATGGCTCGCCAAAATGATATCGTCGCTGTCATGGACATGGACGGCTTTCGAGTAGGAAGTGAATTCCGCTGCAAGGAGCTCGGTATGATCAAAGAGGGAGATACCTACGGGCAATCCTTCTTCTTCGATATTGGGCTTCGTTGGTCGGACTTAACCGAAAAAGACCAGAAGGCGTGCAAGTTCGTGCAAAAGAAAATTCATAAACTGCGGTTTGGGGTACCGCGGTGTCAAGACATTCGATATCTCGCAATTGGAAGCAATCGTGGAGAACTTCTACAGAAGAGTAAGAAAGAATCCAAACTCCGCGATTGCCTACAAAGGCGGGATAATTGAAAGGGATCTCTTAACAAAACTAAGAATCCCTTCAATTAATTTGAAATGCCTTGGTTGTCCCAAGGCAGATAAATCATTTGATCAGCTGGGTTGGTTGGAGACCTGCTGGAACCGCTTGAATGCCTGGGCGTATCAGCACTGCGCAAAAGTTGAGGTTGAGGCCTTCGCGATGTGGCTGGAGAAGATGTAACGCAAGAAAATAAGAAAAACGGTTCGTAAACGAAATTTCGATTTTATTGAGAACTTCATTTTAATCATGAAAACAATATATTCTTCATCACTGAACTAAATCGTTACTGTTCTTCATACGTATTTCTAGTGTATCGTTTGTTTTACCATATGGATACCTATCTTGGATGAAAGTCAAACGGTTTATTCGAATGATTTGGGCCATTTGGCGCGCGTCTCAGTGATATTAAACCCCGTGTTAGTGCGATTGAAATGCACAAGTACACACGCATCGATTGGAGAACCACGCTCCGTACCGATCATAGACAAGAATTGAAGCGAAGAGTGTTTTATTTGCTGTAAAAATGAAAGTAGCTGACTTAATCTTTTATTGGGGAGAAGATGCCATGGGTATAATGACGTAGATTATGACTCCGATCAGTAGAACGGCAGTTGGTTCTGAACACACGGTTCTTACATTGGCCGGTTCTATATATACCGCTACTGCGGGAGTATAAGAGAAAGCGCATATCCAAACGCTAAGAAGAATACCGTAAGTTCTCCGCCATGTCATGATCAATGGGTATCTGAGAGGTGATGAAATATGAATGTAGCGATCGACCGTTATCGACAATAGCGTTAACGTGGATACGAATACGAACTGGCGTGCTATCGTGTGACTGTATTTACAAAAAAATGTCTGATTACTCGGCATTCCAGCAAGTATCATACCAAACTCTGCAATCCAGGTCGGATAGATAGTTAGGCAAGCTAGTAGGTCTGCGCAGGCCAAGTTAGCAACCAAATAACCCATTTGCGTTTTATCGCTCTTCATGTAGAGGTTATAAATTATCACACCTATGTTTCCGAGAACACCACATACCAGGCAAAAACTTTTAACCACGATTAACGCCATAAGACAAGTTCGACAAAGTGGAATATTTTCTGATTCTGTTCCGTTCGTCATTTTAATGCGTTGTCTTTTATCGTGAGCAACTGACGACAAGAGGCGAAAAAATACAAAGTAGTATATGTATATCTGGACAGCTGTTAAAGAACAGGTTACTAGGAATATTTTGCCGTGGCCTTAATTATAGATTCTTACTATAGACTGAATCCAATATTGGAATATATGAATAAGTAAAGTTTGTTTGCTTACTTGCTTATATAGTACACAGTTAAACTGGGACGATACGTATGTCGTTTTCAGTCATAGCCGCCCTAACTGCACAACGACATCAACGAGAATGTAACCAAACCTCCAAGCTATTTTCACCAGCCTCAACTCGATATTTTGTTGAACAATTTACTATCAGAATGTAGAAAATTTCCCGCTCTATTTAAATCTTTAATTAACTCTAATAGACCTTTCAGCTTTTGTACAAATTAACCCATTTCAAATGGTTTGAAATGGTTAAGTTTTATTGGCTATTGCATGGTCACAACATCTGAAATTTGCATGCGAGCTAAAACGGTCTATTGGCTTAAAAATATATAATCAAAACACGACCCATAACCCATATTTTAATATTCGATGGAATCTTAATCATGAAAAACGTTTTCATGGAAAATTAACCTTAATTTTCATGGACAAACTGAAGACGCTTTTTTCTTGTACTGTTTTGATGGCTCGAAGCAGCAGGGAAACTTGGGCTATGTTAACTTCACTTTTATGAATATTGAATATATTTTTTTATTTCAGTCGCTATATTTCATAATGCAGTACTATTATAAGCTTCTACTAAGTCTAGCTATAGCTAAGAAAATGGTGTGCTTGGTTTAAAATAGCGAGACGGTTGCTTTATACATGTACTTCTAAGTAATACATTATAAAGATAATAATTTTATAGTGTAAACTGGCATGAATAGTCCTTTCGGAAGACAAATTTTAGTATAAAATTTGCTGTGGAAGGGGGGCGAAGGTCATGGTGCTTGAGTTGTAAATTTAAAGGTTAGTTTTATAGTAGAACAGAGGGAGATTTTATGGCGCAATATACTCAAATTAATTTCGGTACGATTGCGCAAAAAAATTATAAATTTCTTTTCCACGTGTATCTAAACTCCGAAACGACTGCTGAAGCGAATTTAGCGCATGAATGTCTGTGCTGTGAACCAGAATTGGAACAATCATACATTTCTATTTCAACATATTTCAATATTTCTAATTTTATAAATATGCAAAATGATCTTTTTGTGGTGTGTGTAAAAATAATAAAGGGCTGGTGCACACATGCAGGCTTTGAGCACATGCATGCAGGAGCAACTCTTTTTTCGCCAATCAGTGAATTATAACTGTAATTCGATTTGCATTGGCATTTTAAGGGATGAATATTCATATAACACCTCTATAGATACGCCTGGTGTACATGATATAATTTTATACTTACTATATGCACTATATACAGAGACAGAATCCACATGTGTATACAAAAGAATACAAACTCGGTTGAATACAAACTAGCATTGATCATTTACTCGGTTGAGCTTATAATAATATAAACTGTTGTAAAATTCCCGTTTAAGTATAGTACAACAACTACAATCAGCTATATCAGCCAGCTTAAATGTCGATAGAACGCATGGAAATTAGCGTTTGAGAAACTTTACCTGTAGGCCTAATACCTGAAACTTTACAAAGTAATAACTAATTTGATATCCTAAAATGCTATATCGTGGTAAGTTCATTAACAATTATACCACGAGCTCGAATCGTATATGAGCTGATAGCCCAAAGTACCATTTTTTGAGCGACAAAGTATTTATTTACAATTTAATACATATTTACATAATAATAATAATTATTTAATTCAATTATGTGCAAGAAGTCAGGGCACTCAGCAAACCGGTCAGCCATTTTGCTTTTTCGTTGGTTTTGCTATCCACCGTATATGAGCTGATAAACGGTGAGTAGCTCAACCAATCAGATTGCGGAAAAGCTCATATACAGTGAGTAGCTATATTTTAATATCAATTATTATACATTCATGCTGTATTCTGGTTTCTGATTGCATGGTGGAGATTGCATGGTGGAATTTTTGATTGAGAAATAAATCTCAATATCCGATTAAATTTAATCATTTCACCGGTTGTGACGTCATACCGAGGGATATTGATTTTTATCTAGACTAATTGAATAATTCGCGATATCATGCTCAGCCTCATCCAATAATTGTATAATTATTCGCGTCAGTATTCGTATTCAACAATTCAAAGAATGCCATATGTGATTATCATAGTATACATTTGCTACAGGATGCACAGTGGCGTCTTGAAAACAAAGTGAGAAAGAAAATGAATTATAACCAGCAAAAAATCTCAAATATTCTTCCATTATATGTATGTGAAAGAACATAGTAGGACAAAAACTTTGTATTTCTATGAGAACGTCAGCAATGAACTCAGTTTAATTTTATACACAATAAAATGCCGAGATTAGAATAAAAGGTAAAAATGACTACAAGGGAAAAACTGCTTTAAAAAGGTACGCTTTAAAAAGATAGGATCCACAAAAGGTTTAAAAAAGTATAAATTATACATGAACATAACTCCAAGTGTATACAGAAAAAAGTTTAAATGATTCTCACTGATTATTTGACTATGCATGCGCTTGAATTGTCACGCGAAGATTGACTAATCTATCAATTATTCCCGCATAATACAGTGATCTTTAAACTATCCACATGGGATTTATTAGACTTTTCCAATTTCCATTAGGATGTAAAC